CACTGTTACATTAAAACAAGATCTGTATTGCTCGAGCGTAGCTGTGCCCAAAGTTTCCAAACTAGGACAATTTAATTTAGGCTTTCAGTTTTGCATTTAAGTGCCTAAATAAAAATGGTCTGGATCTTCAAAGCTATAGAAATGGAGGATCGGTTAGTGATCCCAAGGGTCCTGTTGAAGCTTTTGAGAACTAAGACCCTAAAGTTTTGGCTCTTTGATTTGATATTTGATCATGTAAGAATAGGCACCAAGTTTTAAAATGTTGATTGTTGAGTTATTTTATTATGTGTTGCATTACGCGAACATAGAGATTTGCATGCTTCTCAGCAGAGCTTTTCATTATCTGTTTGGCATTTATATCCACTATTCATACATAAACAGTGCATCTCTGGAGGCTGACAGAGACTACTACATAGTTTCAGTTTAAGCATCAGTTTTCGAGCATGTATATACTTTCCTGAAAATTAATTTCTCCTAAGGAAGTACAAGTTGAAAAGCTTGCAGAAAACTCCATTCTACTCGAATTTTGAGGGGATGAGGACTGGTAAGAACACTTATTCTATCTTACTAAAGGTATTTTTTTATGTTGTGTCTAAACAGTGAGGGGAGAGGAATCCCAGAGATCCATCTGCTCTGTGCCAAATTATTTACTTGTAAAGTCCCTTTTCACTTCCTGCAGAACCTGCACTAACAGCACGAAAACTGGATGTTATACAAGGAGGCTTTCTTTGGTCCGTGAACCTCAAAGGATTTGGCATAGGAACCAGTATGCTTTTCCTCATTCTGCATGTTAAGAGAACAACCACAAACAAGGAACAACTGGTAGCAGGGGGTGGTTGAAGAGAGCCCAGCATTTGCTCTGCCTTCCTCACTAGCAATGAGATCTCTTCCCCTTAGCAGTGGAATAAGCTGCCTATAAATGATTTGTTTGTCAGCAAGTTGGACCTTTATCTGATTTGGAGGAGAGTTGGCACAGCACACAACTAGCAGTTTCCTATCCAGGAAAGCTGCTTAGGCAAAGCTCTCGGAAAAGCTACTTACTCTATAGGCCAATATCGCTTAGTCTCAGTGTCACCTTAAATGGGTTACTGCAAGGAAAGTTAGAAATGGTGGTTCAATATCTTCTTGCTGGACAGTACTGTAAGGGTCCTCACCCTTTGCTAAAAATAGTAATTCATGATAAACCTTCAAAGGCTGTAATCTGTCAACCAGCCAGAACAGTGCAGTTACTCAAGCAGCATCCCAGGACTCCAGAGGCATTTATGATCCCAAGAGTCAAGGTCTGCTTCCAGCTCTAAGTCTAAAAGAGATGTCAAGACGCTGTGGGTTTCACCTGGTAAAAGATTGGGCTCTTGTGCAGTTGGCACCATTAATGTTTTTGATGTTGTGGAAATCCATTGTGATCAAGGTAAGAGGTGAACAGAAGGTAATGATCTGAAAGGAACCTCACAGCAAATCCAGGTCCTTGGTGGGCAGGTGGGATGGAGGGAGCCTGGAGAGCAGTGGAAGGACTGGGTGCAGCGGGAAGTTGGTGCTGACCGGATCCTGTAAGGAAGGAGTAAGGGTGTTGGAAAGTGTCTCCCAGAGTGCTGGAGATCCCCAGACTGCACGGAGCTCTGGAAGCTCTTGGGTCTCTGCCACACAAGGTGGCACGTGGGACTCGTAGTAAGCATGCAGAGATAGAGTCAATCCAGCAGTGATAACGTGGACAATTTGTCAGAAAAAGGAGAGAAGGAAGCAAGGTTTGAGTGATTAATTTTTTTTTTTTTCAATAAAGACATGATCAAAGTTGGGAGAGTGTTCTTCACATGCAGTGTAGTAAACAGATCAGAAAGAAATCTTTACACTGTAGCAAACCCCCAGTTTGGGCAACTTTTAGGTGAATGAAGAGAGAAGCAAACCTGCTTGGAAAAAAAAAAAAAAAAGGCAGGCAGCTGAAGGTGAGCATCTGCAGTTACCAAATTTCCATGATGCTGGGATTTCCCCACCACCCCACCCATCGTTGAAGGGAGGTGGCCCAGCTATTATCTCTCCTCCAAGCCACACGCTTTACCACTTAACTCCACAGCAGTTAATGAGATCATTATGGGGAGGGGCAAAGAAACCTAGCTAACAAAGATGTGGGTTTTTTAAATTTATATTTGAGCTGAGTGCCCCCTGTATGACTTGCATGAAGCAAGTACTGAGCTCTGTTTCATTTGTATACCCTGGGGTGCTGAGAGTGTTTCCGTGTGTGGGTTATGCATACGGACAGACTGTTTTTTGTGGGAATGCAGCCAGCCTAAATTTGACCCTGCACCTACTGTGCAACTGCTGCATGACTTGGGCATGTGAAAGAAGAGTGCTAGTGTGATGGTGAAAAAAAAAGAAATAGTTGAGGATAAGTGGTAACAGACAGCCTGACTTTGCTAGGGTTCCTCCTGGTCAGCTTCCACTGCTATTGCTGGTTGCTTCTCTCAGTGCAGTTGTACAGTCATCTCTCCTATTGGCTTTGACCCAGTTTACAGTTTGGCTAAATCCTTCTTTTTCTACAGATTGAATCCTAGGTGAATTTAGGTAGTAAAGCATGTGAGACTGTGCAGGAAGTGGCTGGGATTTTTAGTTATTAGATGATAAAAGCTTCTGGAAATACTCAGTGTTATGGAGGAGGCTACAACCACCAGGAAACATTAGGCTTTGAGGGCTGACACACTTTAGCTACCAAAGCAGTGGTTCAGACCACCTGGAAATGCTCTGCTAGTTGTAGCATCAAAATTTAGGATCTGGAAAACAAAATCACATTGGCTTTTAAGGAGGCTGCAAAAGAAGGACTGGTAGCTGAGTGCTTTGCTAGTCTCACAGTAGAGATGCTTTTCTGCATGTCTTGGAAGTGGAAGTACTGATAGTAATGTGCTGGTATGCTTTAACAAAATTGAAGGTACTGTCCTTCAAGTAGGTAAGGAAGACAAGAACGAATCTTGGTCATTTGTTGTTAGACCTTGCAGAAACAGGAAAATATTTCTTAGTTATTGTTGCTCTTAGTTATAAATGGGACACTGTCTTCTGATCTTTTTTTTTTTTTTTGTGGAACCATCTAGAAATTATTTGCCAAAGTACTTTTCAGGTTTTGTGATTATTTTTTTGTCCCATTTCAAATCCTGTTGAATTACACCCTCTGTAATAGACCAGGGGAAGAACCTTATTCTTGATTTCCAGGATCAATATTAAATTTAATATACTTAGAAGAAAAGAACAATTGCTGTCACTTCCAAATGAAATGTGGTTATGTTGTTCTTGGCGCCTGTAGCACTTATAAGGAAAAAAAAAAACTACTGTTGTGCTTTTGCTAATAATCATTATGGTGATGAATGACCCAGAAAACGGTCTTGTTTTGTCTCAAGAGCTTCCTCAGATCTGTAGGTTTTTTCATGAGATAGCGGTTAAAAAAATGGTTTTGACTTTGAACATACAGTAAGATCCTTTCAGCCCTGCTTTTCTCATACTTGCATGTTGGTAGCATTCCTTCTCATGACTTTCTCGGAGTCTGATTAAAAACAATTGGGAACAAATACACTTTCTCTTTGTTTTTTATTGAAGGGCAACCCTCCCATCCCCATTTCTGGCCTCTTGCTGGTTTTGGCCTTACATGGCATCTTTTTTAATATGGACATTTTTCATTATACTTAATGACCTGTTCCTGTCTCCTCCTGTTTTAATGGAATGAGTGTTTGCTTTCCAGCTATTTGAGGAAGCAATTACCATATTAGTGTCAAAGATGTAGCATGGCAAACATTTAGAAATCAATATAATTGTTCTTGAAGAGATCAATTCCTGTGCTAATAGTAAAGGAATGCCCTGAGATTGTCACTGAAATTTGAAGAACTCATCTTCCTAAGTTTTAATCAAGCCTTTGCAATGTGATAGCAGCCAGAGGCCAGTCAAATTGGAACCTCGTTGTACCAGGTGTTGTGCAAACATAAATTTCTCTGTGGAAGAAACCATTCTGTAAGGAAACATTTTTATTCTGTGTGAAGTTACACGTGTAAAGTGTTCTGGAGAAGAGCAAAAAAATTTTAAAAGAAAATCATGGAAAGCTGCAAATTTATGAGCTCCCAGTAAATAACTGTTCTTATTTGAAACATTTTAAAGTAATCTGTCACACTGCAAAACTTTTAATCACGGTTGTGCTTTGTGAATGTGCGACTGTTCTACATAACCTAGTACACATCACCGTTTCACTGATGTCGGGCTTGGAGTTTTCTGGGTCAGCATGTTTTGTTGGGTTTTTTTTAAGACTTTAATGTTTCTTTCAGGGTAGGTAAATGAAAGTATTTTTATTGCAAATAACTAAAAGCAGAGCCTGTAGGTTTTGGTTAACAATCAAACAGTAAAAAAAAAAAAAACCAAACTTCTTTTAGTACAATCATACCTTGTCTCCTATGCCTAAAATACTTTATACAGTTCTTTATATTCCATGTAGATATAAGTTTGCTTGTATGTCTTAAGAGATTTTACTTGAAACTCTTTTACAGGCCAGCTTCTTCTCATACACAGATGGACACCAGTGTAACTCCACTATTCTTTGATCACTCCCAATGTATGCTAGTGCATGCCAGAGCAGAATTGGAGCCAGTTACTGAAAATGTGGATGTTGCATCAAAGTACAGTTAGGGGCAGGGACTTCCTGTCACGGGATCTGCAGAAGAAACATATTCATGCAAATTAAGCAAGCAGGTTGCTATATAAGAGTGGTTTTCTCTCCTGTGTCAGATCTGTTAGGATCTGTTAGCCTAGGTGTATTGTGTGCAAGCTTACACTACCATGTGAGATGGTTACTACCTTAAGGGTGGCTTGTGAAATTAATGATGCCATCAAGGGAGAACTTAGACTCATTTTAGAAACTTTTTATCTGCTGTCTGTCCTAGTAAAACCAGACCGCAGATAAAGACGATGTACTTTACTTAAAACTAAACCTGGTTTGGGGAGGAGCAAACTGACCACTTGTCATCTTTTCTGTCCAGGAGGAGGAAAAAAGGAAAGCAAAGGAAGAGGAGGAGAAGAGAGAGTATGAAGAATACCTGAAGCTGAAGGAGAGTTTTGTAGTTGAAGAGGAAGGGGTTGAAGAATCAATGACAGAGGAAGAGGTATGTATGTGAGGCTGTTACTGCAGTTCCCTTTATCTTTGTTAGACTCAGGTTGCCCTTACTGCATTCTGTCTCGAGTAAAATGAACTTGAAAGTAGGAGTCAGCCCAATGTTTTTGCTTGTAAAAACTAAATTGTGTATATGGCACAGGTTAACCTGGAGTATTTCCTGAGGAATGCTACAGTTCCTCATACCAGACTCCTATGAGTTAATTTAGAATGCTAAGGCAAATGCATATCACTGGAAATGAGTTCTTTCCTCCCTTCATCTAAGGACTGAAAAAAACCTCATTCTGGAATTCAGATAGTCTTTTACTGTTGTCAGCTCTGCCCTAGCCATATACAGTGGGCCAGATGAAAGTAAGGCTAAATTTGGAGTTTGGTAGTGCCCAGGTATCTTGGGGGGAATTGCTTGGCTTTGTTTTTATTTTCTAGACCAATGGGGCTGCTGTGTAATCAAATGAAAAACCAAGCTCTTGTCTTAAGGCTTCTGTTAAGAGAATTCATGGGACACAGCCTAGGTGCTTGTGGGTTGTACGCTGGAAAACTGTGCGTTCAGTGTTGCAAATGATTGCTATGGTTGACAGTATTTCAAACTTGTGCATAACGTTCTAGCATGCTCCTCCTGTGGCTGCCTGCAGATGCGCTGCTGGGGAGGGTGGTTGAAATGTGATACTTGACATGATAGGACAGCAAACTTGAAAAAGTTCCACTGTTGTGGGAGGCAGCGTTCTTATTCTGTCTGCTGAAAATCTGTTAGACTCATTTTAATTGCTATCAAATGCTGAAATTGCTCTTGGGTTGTAGCTGCCAAATTTGAGCTGTCCAATGCACGTCACGATAAAGGTGTTTTTTTCAGGGCACGTGTGCATTTGCTCCTCTGCTAAAGTGACCCTGTTGAATGGATTTGCCTTTAGTGTGACCAAGGGTGGCTTTGGGCTGAGGAGCTTGTAATGCATCAATACCACTTGACATTAGACACAAGTTCTCACTATGGACCCCTTCCCATTAAGATAAATTCCTCCATTCTGCCAGGATTAACACCAAGAGAAGTTGTATCTGGTGATGGGGAATTTCCTAAGGTGTAGAGAACAGCAAAATGCATACTTTCTATTGAAAGTTCCTTCAAAAATGTGTGCCTATCCTGTTAGAAGATCAGATTATGCCTAAATATTAAATTGTTCCACTTTAGACACCCTTTAAAGCTAGAATGTGTTTATTCTCTGTGTTCCTACAGCTGCCTGTCAGGGAGAAATTAGTCTTGCTATATGTGGGAACAGAGAAAGGTGGTCCTCACTCAAAAGAGCTTGGCAGGCACTTGATGATGCCTGGATCTCAACATAAGATATCTTTGGTAGGGGTTGGGAGTTAGAACTTTAATAGTAGGTGGTTTGAAAGTCATCTTCAGAAGCAATCACAGGTACATAGTTATTTGGAGACACCAGCCTTGCAGAAATGGCAAGCCACCCTTCTGCCTTGTGGTGGATAATGTACTGAAGCATTTTAGTATCCTGTAACAATAGCTGACCCTGCCATGTGTTGTTGAGGCTAGTGTGCTGAAACTCATGCTGAAAATTAAGGTCCTGAGTCCAGAGCTAAGCAGTTAATTAAGGCTGATTGATTTCCAGGGTTGCAGAGTAACTTGATCTCCTGTTAACTTAAATGCACATTGTTTGCATTGCCTTTGAAAATTGAGCTGCTTACATTAAAATGCCGGATTTCAGGTGCATAGCTTTGAAAACGGCTCGAGCTTCCACATGTGTTGCGCAGCTGTGTGCTACACTTGACCATCTGCATGAGCTAGCTGTCTCCTGAATCACTCTGTACTTTACCTCTGCACAAAATGTCCTCAGTGTGTGTATGTAACTTAATACACAATGCACAAACTCACCCAGATGTGGTTATTTCAGGGTATGTACGATGTGAAGAATAAAAATTCAAAGATTTCCCTTCAGAAAACACTTAAACACAAATTGTACTTGAGCCATATTCTGTCTTAGAAAACACGTATCATAAATTCCTAGTTAAGATTAAATATAAATAGATATAGAATTTTTTTTCCAGTTCAAAATCTCAGTCAGCATGTATGTTTAAAATTTCAGAAGTATGCAAGCTAAACACTTTTGTAGTATTTGTTCTCAGCAAGTTTGTGATGCATTTAATGTTTGTGAATTTAAAATAACAGTTGTTTCCCTTGCTGTATCCAGTCTCGCAGCTTTCTAATGGAATTTCTCCAATATGTTAAGGTAAGCTACTGTTGGTCTTTCTCCTCCTTCCATACTTGTTAGATTGTGTAAAATACCTTTGTCTGAGCTGAGTTGCAGAAAGAAGGGAAATCTTTACTTCCTCTTTGATTTACTTGAGTATTCAACAAGTAACAAAAGTGATACCTTAGATAAAGTCTGCATTATTTACTTAACCATGCATGAGCATGTCCATCATTGTTAAAATGGTTTGTAATTATAGCATTGTCTTGGCGTTTTGGGTCAGGATTGTAGCTCTTACCCTCTTTTCTAAGGATAGGCATTATAAACTCTGGGTCTGGTCGATCACCCTTAGAATTTATGAAGAGCAATGTTTGCTGTTGATTGGGCTTTGGGACACTCAGGCTTTTTGTTTGTGAACATCAGCTACTGATTTAGAAAACAATCTCTACATCGCAGCTCAGCATGAATGAGAATTGCTGTACCAGCATGTGGTCTGCTGTGCAGGATGTGTTTGTGTCTGAAACACTGGCCTTGTAAAGGTCAATCCAACTTTTCATGTGATTTCTTTTCTGTTTTTTATCCGTGCAATTTGCAATGCTGTCTTAATGTTTGGATGGGATATTTAAGAAGAAGATGGCTTGTTTTTAACAGGGTGTGTTATTCTTCCTTTCATGATATTGTATGGTTGGTATTTAAAACCTGTGGTGTGTTTGTGAGGATTTCCACTTTTGATCTGTAAGGACAAATGCTTATTTCTCCACTATTGGTATAATGGTCAAATGCATTTTTCTACTCTTACTCTAACAAAAGTATGCAAATCTTTTGTCCTAATTAATCCCTTTTCTCCTTTACTGGAAACTGGACTCTTCTCTGGCAATGTATGGCATGTGTGTGAAAGGCTTCATTAGTAAGCAAATCGCTTGCATGCTTAGCGACCTCCTAATCGTTTTGTTAATCCAGAATCACCCACTCTGGGCCAGTTTTGCATGTCCATTATCCCAGCAAAACCCTGGACTTAACAGATTTGTCTCATGGGTAACTCTCCCCAAGAAGTCAGTTTGAGTGATTGCCATGTAAGTCTGAACAATAGCTCGATCATTCCAGAGTCTAAGGTGCAAGCACCTTTTGCTGTGCTGCTCTCTGCCTCCTGGGTCACTGTCACTTTTGGTGGTTTATCCCATTGCCATCGGGCCACAGTGAGAGAGGCTGCTAGGTTTGCATCTGTCAAGTGCTTTCTGATCAGCGTGATCTCTGGGGGTAATCTGGAAATGTCTAAGCTAGTAGCACTCAGAGTTAGGACATATCTTCATTGCTGAAGCCTAAACGAAAATAGCCCCTGTTCAGTAACCAAGTCCCCAGCATAAGCCAGTCAACTCTGATCAGAAGCACCGCCAGAAGCGGATGAGACAGCTGAGAATAGATTGGAAAAGCTATGGGTGACATGTTTAAAGAGCCTAAGTAAAACCATGGCGTGACGATGAACCATCAGATGGCACGTTTCATTTTGCAGCCATGCAGCGATTTCAATATTCTGTTTTCCACAGAAGCCAGAGAGATTTCTTTGAAAGGGAGGGAAGTTTGAAATGGCCATGACTGTTAAGACCACCCTTTGTTTCAATTACTATCTGTGGAAATGGACTACTTGGTACAGTGTGATCCCAGTTCACCCGTTCCCATCTAAGGCTTTCAAGATACAGCCAAGCTGTGAATTAAGGAAAATGTGCTGTTCTTTATCCTAGGGCAGCTTGTTTATCAATAACATTAGGTAGAACAATAGGATATTTCAATGTCCCTTGGAATCTTCCGCTACAACTGGGAGGGCTTCCAAGTAGGGTCTGATTCTGCACGTTGCTCTGGTGGTTGTGATGGATGGAACGGATTAGTCACAAACTCTCAGTTCGGTGTTTAAGCACATATGTATAGTTTTATATTAGTCACTTCTACTTGACGTCAGAGAAATTAAGCACAGGCTGAAAACCTAATTCAGAAGTGTTTCAACACCTGATTTCCTATGTAGAGATGAGTTGCAGAACTGGGGCATTGCTTTCTTTTACAAGTTTTAGTTGCTTTTTAAAATCTTGAAAGTATGCTTAATATATAGATTATGTATTGCCCTCATCTTCCGTTCTATTCACAGAAACTGTTGACTTGCATCAAGAAGCAGTGCTAAGCTGCTAGTAGCGGTCTGAAAAACATATAAATTAAAAGAGCAATTGGCATTTTTAAAAAATAAAATTTAATTTAGCTCTTCTGTTGAATAACTTATTTTACTGGTGTAACTGACTGGAGATAGCTCACCCCATGCTTCATTCCTAAGGGTGTTTGAAATAAAACGTAGCCTCTTTTCTCCAGCTCTGCCTCATGGGATTGCTTTAAATGGGATTTTTCTTAAAGGTATCAAAAGAATTGTCGCCCCCCAATTCTGCTTTTCTGAAAGCTGAGCATCTCCCTTCCTTTGAGGCTTTCTAATAACCCCTCAACCTCAATCTGACTGCTGCAATGTCACCACCTCACACCTCACTCAGGCTGTGGTATTGTCTCTGATGCAGGAGCCGTCCTGTGTGTTTGCTTCTTACTGTGGCCAGTCCTCAAGTTACAGACTTGATTGCTTTGCTCTCAGAGGAGCAGAATAACCAGTTCTTAATGGGAGCCTTATGGTTTTCCTTAGCAGTGCTGTAGCTGCACGACACACCTTACAAACCAGGTCTGTGGGCTGTCTGAGCACTTCAGAAAAATTAATAATGAAGTGGGTGGAGGTTATAGAGTGGCTGAGCAGTTCCCTTGCTGTGGAGCACTAGCTCTTTGGCCCAGGGAAATATGAGCCTGCACTTTGTCCATCAAACTGTTCTCACCCAGCTTGACAGTGTATCATTGAATACATCTGAATTACAGCCAGTGAATTGAAACAGCAAACTACATTTCAAAGGGATAGCAAAGGACTCAGAGGCTTTACCCCTTCCTGTTTTTCCTTTAAGAAAAATGATGCTACAAGATAAGGAAAAAAAATCCTACTCATCTTAATCCTGAGAGCTCTTGCTCTGTTTCATCCCTTGCTGAGGACAGCAGCAGAATCCTACCTAAAATTAAATTAATTCAGTAAAATGTGTCTGTGTGTATGTTGCTCTATGAAAGTTAAGCCTGTCTCTAAAACGTGAAGCATGTGGTGAAGTGTTTTGTTCAATTGGGACCTCACAATGTCATTATATTTCAGAGTGTGTGTGGGGAATGCATCCTAATTCTACCCCACCCTTTGGGCTCTTACAGCAGGATCCATCTTGGAAATCTTCCACTAAACTTGGTCATTGAGGGTGAATATCTTTAAGTGAAGGTTTAAATCCTGTTTTTTCTTGTTTATGTGGCTTTGCACCCCCCCTGTCCCTTTAAAAGAAGATGTGACGAATCTTGGCAGTTCCCAGCTCTGAGAACTGAATTCCATGGACTGGTTCCAGTTCCATGCGTTCAGTCCATGGTATTCAGTTCTCTAGCTTGGCTGCATCAAACTTCACTACTAAGTCTGTGCGTGGCTCTTTTTGTCTGATTTTATTAATGAAAAAGATTCATCTGTTTCAGCCTCTCTCTATTTCTTCAATGTCCTTCCAGTGTACTTTCAAGATCAGAAACAAATGCATTTATTGTTTGAAGTATTGCATCTGATAATGTAGAGGTAGCTCTTGTGGCTGTACATATGTGGCTGTTAGGAATGTAGTCCAGTATGTTAACTGAACAGTTTTCAAAAGTTTTGTGTTTTCCAAATTCCATAAAAACAGTGCATCCTTTTACTGCATCTAAACAGATGAGTTTCTAAAACTTTTGCAGAGAAGAAAACAGGAACCAAGTAGCTCCAGATGAGTGCACCAGGTGTTTTCTCTGTAATTCTCTGGAGCTACAGAGAAGCATAAAACCAGATGTGAGCAGTGGTGACTGCATCCTGACCGAGAAAGGCTGCAGTAAGAATCTCTTTCAAAAGCAAAATGAAAATTTGCAGTTCCTGCTTCTGCCTTTGTTCTCAGAGATCATCCTGCTGCCTGCGCAGGACTGCACTAGCAGTATGCTTCCAGCACTGACAATTTTAATAAGGTGTTCACTTGCTTAGGAAGATTATTATGGCATTAATACACATGACATTAGTAAAACAGACTAAAGGACTTAATGCTGCCAGTCTTGTCTGGATTTTTATGCATGCACTGATACATACCAGTGATCATTTTAAAAAGTACTTTGAAACATCTCTCAGACAAAAAGGGATCTTGCTAAAGCATACTGGAAATTAGAGGTAGCAGTTAAGAAACTCAGGTGGCAGGGAGAAGAGAGCCATGGCTGTTTATTGTGCTTTTGCTCATCCTGTCCTCCTAACATAAGAAAAGGTTCAGGATGGATGCTGGCAAGTGTAATTTGAGTCTTCACTTAAGCGGGTCAGAGCATCCAGTCTTTCCACAGAGCAGACTGGTTTAAGTAACTTAAGTTAGAGGTTTTTGTCAGAGAAAAGTGCTTACTAGGAAAAGTTAGGTAGAATGACAGGTTCTGTTTTGTCTATTAAATGCATTTTTTATTTGAAAGATAAAGAAACAGGCTTAGCCTCTAATTCATCAACTGCATGTAACTCTTGTTTGTTTCCCTAGAAAACAAAGGTAATCCAGCTGGAGGACTTGGCTTCACATTTGGGTTTACGAACACAGGTAAGTACTAACTTTTGGTGTGCAAGTACAAGAAATGAGTTTAAAATGACAGGAGAGACAGTAAGTAAATAAGGGTAACATTTATGCAAGTGTCTTGATGTTACTGAAAATGCTTGCACTTTGGTGATTTTCAGCAAAATCAGCCCTAAAAATGTGGCCATTTATCAAAGTAGCATCCAGCCAGTGAAGGATTGTTGGCTTACAGGATTGTTTCAGTGAAAAGTGCTCGGTCTGCCTCTTGCACAGCTGCCTGTTGGCTAATGGATCCTGTAGTGTCTGCAAATCTAGTAATAGAGCAATTCAGGGTACTTGGGAATCAAAAGCAAAGCTAGAAGCAAATTCAGATGCTGCCTGCATGATTAGACAATGTTGTTATGTTTGCAGACAATCAATAGATGAGCTGGTTTGCTCCAATTGCTTGTGTATTCTTAAAGCATTAAAGAATTTGTATCTTCTGGTGCCTTACTTAAGGATATTGTCCCTCTCAGCACCAGAGAAGACTGTCAAAGTGAGGTAGCTCATGGTGTGAGATCTGTACTTTTTTTTTCTCCTCTGTCCTCTTTCTGTTCTTTAAACATTTTGTGTTTTGACTCTGAAGAACAGTTGTGGCTTGGTTTATTCTAATTTGAGCACATTTGACATATATTTCAAAGTGACCAATGTTTTCTGTTGTCCTGTACCTAATCCAATCCTGGGGCGCCCCTTCACAGCAGTTTACACTGCTGTAAGTCCAAGCTGCTGTGCCTCTGCCTCTCTCTTAAACCAGAACTTCATTTAAGCATGCAGTGAGTCAGTTAAGGGAATTTGTCTGGCTGAAATCTAAACTATAATTTGCTTCTACAGTCACATAAATACAAGAAAGGGAGAGAGGCAGAACTGTGGAAACCAAGGCTTAGATACTAGCTTAAAGTGTATTGGAACTGCATACTTGGAGTAACTATAGAGTTCAACAAGTTGTTGCTTTGTATTGGTAAAAGAGGTTTCCTCTTAAATGGAGCAGGAAAAAATATAAAAAGCTCTGGAATGTATTGAGTATAGCCAGGTTCTTGGAGAAGTACCTCGGTGTACTTCATGGAACTTGCGTGTTGCATTGGCACTATATAGCCTTTCCCTTGGAAGATTTCTATAACCCGCCCCTGTTCCTTGAAACAGCCAGGTAACTTAGCAATAAAAGACACTTTTTCGGGTAGGGAAGTTATTTGAACACCCCAAAATGCAGAAACTTACTTCATCCTTCTAAGGCCAAATGGCTTGTTGCATCTGTCTGTGTGGAAGTACTGATGTGTATCCTTCACTGAAGTTTTAACACTGAGGAATTAAATGTAAGCCTCTATCTGTAGTTTATCTGAACATGTGAAATGTTTTTTTGCCTCCCTCTTGATCAGTTTGTTATTCCTTTTTCTCTTCTGAACAGGATGCAATTAACAGAATCCAGGACCTGATGGCAGATGGCACTCTAACAGGTGACAGCCGAAACACAAAGGAGACTTTATTGTAGCTGGTGAATAGCTGGTGCAGAAAATGCCTTCACTATGGTAGAGAGAGACTTCCAGTGTAATTTCTGTTTTAAGCATTAGAGGATCCTAGTAGGACTTGATAAATAGATATTTTTATTATCCCTGTTTCAGCTGCTTTGAAACTACTGTTTAAAGCACTATGGGATGTGATTGCTCCTATGATACATTACACAGAAGTTGGGGGTGAATGTCCTCAACAGTTTAGGAATCAGCACAAGGCTTCTGCATGTTGACTGAGCCCTGCTGAAGGCCTTTAGGGATTGGGTAGCCAGCTGCAAATTATGTCTTCTGAAATCTGAATTTGAAAGAATCACTTGGATGTTTTGGGGCAGTTTGCAAGCCTGTTTTAAAGGTGCTGTGGCTAAAGCCAGGACTGGGGTACAGCATGCTGTGAGAGAAGCAAATATCCCAGAGCACTCCAGGATGCTGTAGTAAGTGAAGTGCTTGTTCCTAGCCATGTACCCACATAATCAAAGTTGGAATGTAAGCAGAGATTGAGCATGTCGGTAGCTCCCTGTCTGAACAAGTCTGTGTTAGTGCTGGGCAGTCTTTTTCTTTCCGAGGATGAAGTAGGGGAAGGTGCCACTGCAAACATTTATTGACCTGATACTCGTGGCTGGGGAACAGCTATCTTGCTGGGTACATATGGATACCCATTCAAATGACCTAAAAGTACTCTGAATCAAAGCATAAGGAGGTGTACTGTCCTGGCTGTGTCTGTGGCCTAAAAGGCATGCAAGTGAGGCTCTCTGCCTTGCATTTGATCCTGTAACATGTTAAGAACAGAGAGATCTATTCTCACTCTTGATGGAGCAACTTGAAATATGGAAATTGAGCTTCATTCCCTTTTAGAGGGTAAGCTGGAATGGCTGCACTGGGCCCCATGGGAGCTCTGAATCACCTCCTGGACCCTCCTGCTGCTGTGCCATTCTCCACCAGCTGCCTGGGCCCAGAACATCGGCACCAAAACTTTGTACCTGAAGTAGCTGCTGTGGTACTCCCAGCTAGCTGCGCACAATGAAAAGAATGTGTTACTTTGAACAAAATTAGTCTTAACAAGGCACTCGGCTATTGTCATAGCCCTGCTCAAAAACCCAACAGTAGAGAGGAGATAAAAGCCTGACTGCTAGCACATTCTGCCTGCCCTAGATATGAAATGCAGCCTCAGCAGTTTGAACGTCCCTTCCAAAAAAAGTGACTGATGTCTGTTGGGAAGTGAGAAGAGCCAAAGCACTGACTTCAAGGTCCTTTCTTTCTCCCTGTAGGTGTGATTGATGACAGAGGAAAGTTCATCTACATCACTCCAGAGGAGATGGCTGCTGTGGCTCAGTATATCAAACAGAGAGGACGAGTCTCCATCGCAGAGCTGGCCCAAGCAAGCAATTCCCTGATCAACCTCCAGCCTGACAGCCAAGCTGTTGCTCCAACTGTGGCATGAAATTACGGTGTGAGAAAAATACAGCAGGAGTTTAACCTTTTAACGAATAAGCCACGTAATTAAAAACAAACAAGAACCTCTCTAGTCCATTCATGGTGCTTGAAGATAGGATGCAAGACTTGATCAAAAGTTTTGCTTTTCACTCTGTTAGAGCTGGTATAAAATAAGACAGCCGTTTGTACAACAGGCTAGCTAAGAACTTGGGGCTAAGATGCCCCTGTACCCCAGGAATACCAGTAATTTATAAATGTTTGCTTTATCTTGGCAGTCAGTCTCATGTGGCTATACCCAAACTTCTTATTGTTTCCAGATTCTGATGTCTGTTTCAAATATATTTGGTTTTAATTGCATTCAGAATTCTCCAGGCTTGCTCTGCACTTACAGAGCTGTTGTGGTGGGTTAACCCTGGCTGGATGCCAGGTGCTCACCAAAGCCATTCTATCACTGCCCCCCCCTTCAGCTGGACAGGGGAGAGAAAATACAGCAAAGGGCTTGTGGGTCGAGATAAGGACAGGGAGAGATCACTCAACCAATTACTGTCACAGGCAAAACAGACTCAACTTGGGGAAAATTAACTTAATTTATTGCCAATCAACCAGACTAGGGTAATGAGAAATAAAACCAAATCTCAAAACACCTTTCCTCCACCCCTCCCTTCTTCCCAGGCACAGCTTCACTCCTGGATTCTCTACCTACCCCCACCAGCGGCGCAGGGGAATGGGGAATGGGGTTTATGGTCAGTTCATCACACGTTGTCTCTGCCACTTCATCCTCTTCAGGGGCAGGACTCATCACACTCTTCCCCTGCTCCAGCGTGGTGTCCCTCCCACGGGAGACAGTCCTCCACGAACTTCTCCAACGTGGGTCCTTCCCATGGGCTGCAGTTCTTCACAAACTGCTC